TGCGTGCCCAAGATCCCAAGAGGAGAATGGAGGAGAAGGGAATGCAACATGCTCATCCCTCCTGGGAGGTGATTTCTTGCTTTCTGTCTCTTGGTCTCTTTCTGTCTTTCTGGCGAGTGCACACACCCTGTATCAAAATAAAACTAAAAAACAAACAAACCAAAAAAATCAAAAAACAAAAAACCTCATGCCAGGCCTATGTGTGTGCATGCCCAAAACTCTGAGAAAATGGAAGAGAAGGAGATGCGGCATGGCCATCCCCTTTGGAGGGTGATTTCTGGCTTTCTGTCTGTCTCTCCAGCAAGAGAACGTGCCCGATGGCAAAAATCTGTACCTTAAAAAAAAAAATGGGGACCAGCAGATGGCATAATGGTTATGTCACTGGACTCCCATGTAGTCAACCGCAGTTTGAATCCTAGACCCAGTGGCTTAAAACTCACACTGGGCACGTGTGTGTGCCCGCCCAATATCACAAGAGTGACATGGAAGAAAAGGGACTGCAGCGAGGCCATCTCCCCTATAGGGTGATTTCTCAGTTTCTGTCCCTTGATCTTTCTCTGTCCCAGTGCACACAATCTCCAGCAAAAAAAAAAAAAAAAAAAAGACAAGAAAGAAAGAAAAAGATGATGGAAATTATGTAACATGTATCTCTAATTCCTGACCACCAAGAGGCATCCTGACACCACATGCCAATCAGTGGCACTGAATGTTCTCTCAAATTCTTTATATTCTCTCCATACCACATTCCTGTTTGATTTAAAGGTTGTGTAACCTACAAAAATCTGCTCATTAGTTATCTTACCTGTGTATTAGGATAAAGATGAGGTGGTGGAGGAGGCAGTGCTCCTGGAGCATAAGGGTAGCTGGGATTACCAAAGTTCATGACGCCTGGAGCAGAAAAGTAAGTAGGAGCAAGCAACTGCTGAGGTGGCGGCTGTCCTGGAGACATGGACACCGGTGGGGGATAGAGGCCTGGATTGGTCAGAGGTGCAGGTGTCTGGTGGGGATGTAAACCTGGACATGGAGAGGAAAACACAAATTAAAGATGACAAGACCATTCTCGTGAGATAGCTTGGAAGAATGTGCACAACACGAATAGGCTCAGCACGGACCCAAGCATTTGCTGCCCTAGCAGCCAGAAAGGATAGCCTCACAGGCTAGCAGCACTTGATAGGACTGTGGTGCCCCAACACATCCTCACAGACAGGAAGCTCATGAGCCAAGGTGCAAAGCTTACCTGGGTGAGAAAGATGCATCTCTGGCTGCACAATCATACCCTGAGGAGGCAGTGGGGCAGGACTGTCACCGTGGGTATAGATTGGTCCCTGGAACTGCACTGTAAGATATCACATTGGGACTCTCATAAACACTTACTCTTCATAACCCTTGAACAAGTCTCCTTGTCCCCCAAGCAGTTTAAATGATGTTCTCAATTCTCCATTTGAAGAAAACAGCAACCAGACAATATCTGAGAACTACTATAAGTCAGAAGGGAAATTCAGGAAACAGGAGACTGGTCTTTTACTCTGCACTGCCAAGAAAATTACCCCAGCAATAAGAAAAAACTCACATGGATCATAGTAATGTCCCTCCATGATACTGATATGCACAGGAGGGGCAGGGGGTTCTGGAACAGGTCTTTGCCGCTGGGATGAATAGCGTTTGGCTCGACCACCCTGGACACCCTGAGATAAAAAGAGAGGCCTGAAGAAGACAACTTCTGGAGGACTATTTTATACTTGATTATATATATCCTAGTATCAAGTTCCACCTTTCTTTAGGTGCAAAACACTTAGTACATGGCAAATGTTTACAAGTGTTTAATAAGGATGCAAAATAAATTAAAAAAAAAAAAAAAGATCAATGACAAGCATCAAGTTTTGAGCCTAACCCTTCTCCCCTATATTTCTGAGACTCAAAGCAACACAAGTAATCAATGCAAAAACTGATTTAAAGACATTCTCTTTGTTTACACAGTGAACACGAACAGGTTGACATGCAGCCCCCTCCTCCATCTACCCGCTTCCCGTCACCTTTCAGTACCATTTCTTCCATCCGGTTAAACTGAGGTGGAGGTCCTGCTCCCATGTGTATGTGGTTGGGCATACCTGTAATACAGCAAAAAAGTCACTGCTGATGAGCAGTGGAACCCAAGTGAAACCCAAGACGCTGCCAAGAAAACTGTAAGTTGAAGAATCAATGGCTTTCTTCTTTTTTTTTTTTTCAGTTTTCTTTTTTTTTTTTTCTCTAGAGTATGTACACTCACCAGAGAGAAACAGAGAGTGAGAAATCACCCCCCTCCACCCCAGGAGAGATGATCACATGGCAATAACTTCTCATCTATTCTTCTTTTCAGATTTTGAGTACTCATATACACTTCTAGCCACCAAGTCCAGGATTCAAACTACGCACTTTGCCATATGGGATCCAACCATTTTAACCACCATAACCCCCTGGCTTTTTCTTCTTTTGAACCAATAACAAGGACCTGAAATCCCTTTAAACCATCTCTGCTGCTTGTCAGCACCAGCATTTGGATATCTGCCCCCACTACTCATCATCTTTTTTTAAAATTAAAACTTATTTAATTTTATTTATTAATTTATTTTAATTCAACGAGAGAGAGAGAGACAGAGAGAAAGAGGGAAAGTGAGAAAGCAAGCCACCAGGTCCAGGACTGGAACGGTGGCTGGCCATGTGGACTGTCTAGGGCCTTAGCCACCTACCAGCCCCGCCCGTCATCTTTAATACAGTAATAAAATTCTTGAATTTGGGGGCCGGCAAGAGGCATGGTAGTTAAGGGGGCTAGACTCCCACATGACCAACTGAGGTTTGAGTTCTGGACCTGGCGGTGTGGTTTCTCACTCTCTGTCTCTCTCTCTGGTCAAAATAGAATAATAAATGAATAAATAAATAAATAAAACTGAATAAGTAATTATTAAAAAAAAAAAGCTATCAGTATGAGAACATACTCTATCCATATCCATAGAGCAACTCCAGGCCATTTAGGCTACACTGGTTCTGACATCCAAAAATCACCTACACTGGAGAAGGGTTCAGAAACTCCCAGTCCAATGAGGATATCCTTTTTTTTTTTTGGAGAGGTTTTTGCTATAGGGTGCATGTGCGCGCCAGAAAGACAGAGAGAGACAGAGACATAGAAAGCGAGAAATCACCCCCTGGGGGGGATGGCCACGCTGCAATCCCTTCTCCTCCATTCTCCTCTCGGGAACTCGGGCACGCACGCACACACGCCCGGCATCAGTTTAAGCCGCTGGGTCCAGGATGCGAACCACAGTCGACTACATGGGAGTCCAGCGACATAGCCATTACGCTAACTGCTGGTCCCAGGATATCCAATTTTTAACTTGTTTCAGGAACTAAGGAAAATGTTCCCCTGTCTGTCTGGCTGGAAGAAGACAAAGCAAAATGGGCAAAAGGGGCAACAAGAGCAATAGGAAAGAAACTCCACAGTTCTCCAGAACTATGCTGTCCACTATGACAGCCATTAACTACTTGTGGCTATTTCAATTCCCATTCATTAAAATTCTCAAAATCGAGTCGGCAGATGGAGTGGTGGTTAAGGGCACTGGACTTCCCACATGGCCAACCACAGTTTGAGTCCCAGACCTGGCAGCTTGCTTTCTCGCTTTCCCCCTCCCTCTCTCACTCTGTCCCTCTCTGGTCAAATTAAAACAAACAAATAAATAAAACGTTAAATAAAATAATTCTTTTAAAAAAATTCTCAAAATCCTGAGAGGATAGAGGCAAAGGGACTGTGGCATGGTCATCCCCCCTGGCAGTGTGATATCTCACCCCACCCATATCCATCTTTCTCTGGTGAGTGCACATACCTTATAGCAAAAAAATAAATAAAAAGAATAAGACCATCATTATTTTAGGTCATCGGGAAAATCATGACATATTTCTGTTTTTTCATTAAAAAATGTGTCATGACATTCCCAATGTCTCAGTAGAAAGTTCTATTGGGCAGTCTGTCTCTGTAAGATTAAGTAAATTACAGAGGCTTTCCTTTCAAACAAAGTAAAGACTCTGATCCAAATTCATTTAAGTTTCTATCTTTAAACATTTAACCATTAGCTCAAGTAGTAAGAACATTTTCTTTTACTTTTCCCACGGAGCAGCAAAGGATTCTGTACTCAAAAGTTCAATAATGACTGATCAGTAAGGAGTGGGACACTCTTGGGTAACAGATAAAACGGCTGAGGATGGAAGAACGTTCCTATGAATCCATCTTATTCTCTCAGTTCATGGTAGCTATTTGTCAGACATCACATTCTAGAGACACTTAAGTATCACACATCTAACCCTGATGATGCAAAGGGAAAACAGCTAGCCACCAACCTGGCGATACCTACCCCGAAGCTCCCGTGGTTGCAGGAACGAAGGCTGCCCAGGACTCCAACTCTGCTCTGCTATATTTAGTTGTGCCACATCTTGCTCAAGTCCGCCTGTGCTAGAATCAACGGGAGCCTCCCAGTTCCCAGTCTTAGTAGCTGGAGGTGGGGTAGTTTCTGGTACTGGAGGTGCTGGGGTCAGCCCTTCTGGTGGAGGGGGCATTTCCTCTGCAACCTTGACTGCATCTCCAACTTTGGCTCGGGTTCTCCTTGCCCGGGAATAAGACTTCTTCTCAATGGGCCTGTCAGGGGCTGGTGGTACAGTGTCAGGAGCAGTAGTGGGTGTCTCTGAAGCTGCCTCTTCTTTCTCAGGACCACCGAGCACTGAAGCATCTACTTCTGGAGATGGATCCCTCACAGGAGTCTGCTCCAGGCGCCGTGACCGGTAACTAATCTCATGCTTAAGAGTCTCACCAGACCGGCCACCATGCTGCCCACCAGCCTCCACAGGCCTAAAACCAGCACGACCTTCCTTGAAGCCCCCGGATCGAGGGTAATTCCTAGGTGTAGACATGCGGCCAGTACCTGCAGCATTCCTGTTAATAAATGTCCTTGGTGGGAGGGTGCCCCCAGTACCCTGGTGGCGATGGGACTTATTTGGCCGCTCACCAATCCAGTTTGGATCTCTTTGTGGAGGACTCCCAAATCTAAAAAAAAATAAATAGAATAGAAAAACTGTTAAGGAAAAAACAAGGCCAGCTCTATGGCCTGGTGGTTAAGGGAGCGACATCCCGCGAGGTTGACCACACAGCTTAATCCCAGACCCAGAGCTTGAAAAATACACTGCATGCATGAACATGCATGTCCCAAATCCCAAAAGAATGAAGAAACAGAGAAGGGACTGCGGCATGACCACAGCCCACTGAGGGGTGCTTTCTCTCTCTTCCTCTCTGTTAAGCACACATGCCCACTTACAAATTGAAACAAATAAAAAAATTAAATAAATGGAACCATAATTAGGGAGGCTTCCCATATTCCTCACCTATTCATTTACTGGCTAGAAAGGCATTTCAAAAAGCAGAATTCTTCTCTAAAAATATCAACAGTCTAAACTCCAACGTTTCCTCACCGGGGTTTCCGGATTCTTCGGGGTTTGATATCATCAGGATTATGAGCTGAACGGATGTCATAGCCATAAAGAGCAATGAGCTCCTGTCGAGACTTTGGGGCCTGCTCATCCTCCCGGAACTTGTCATGTTCCCAGCGACCCTCATCCTTCCACAGTTTTCGCTGGCGCCCCTTGGGCCTAGACAAAATCAAGGAAAATTGCCTTAGGTTGGCAGAATCTGTCAAGCAGAGATATTCATAAAACGGCATCAAGTAGGGAGACAGTGAGTGGGAACTTTATATAGTCTCTCATCTTCCCAGACAGACTATAAGAACTAGGCCTCCCCCAACCTGAGAGTGAGTCACAACACCTCAGGGTCTGCTGGACTCAAATACAACAGAGCAGAAATGAGAAAAGGTTTTAAGACGCTCAGCACCTCTAAAACACCTCTCTCCTAAAAGGCAGCCCATGAACACCTCAGAGGTCTTGCTTTGAGTTTCAGATTCATGAAGGACAAAGCGTGATAAGAGGAGATGAGTTCTGGAGACAGACTGCTCTGGGTGTGGATACCAAATATTGAGAGATACCAAATATTCTAAGCCTCACTTTCCTCATTTGTACAAGAGGGATAATTACATACTTACTTTAAATGTGGTGAATAGTAAATGGGATAACGCACATACGACACTTAGCCCAGTGCCTGGTTTACAGTAAACACTACATACATACTACACGGCAGCAGCAGGAGCAGCGAGGGCTGTTACCTGACTTCCTCGTCCTGAGTTTGCCCTCGAAGATCATGCTCAAAGAAAAGCCCTTTCCGGGGTATGTATGCTGGATTCTTCCGGTCTTCATCATCATCCAAATGCTTAGGGCCCTTTTTGCCCACTTTATTCTCTACAGGCTCTGTGCTCTCCTGAAGGACAAATAAAGGGCTCCTTACTCCTCCAGGGCTGAGAGCCCCTATTCTAGTCCCCAGGTGGAAGACTGGGTGGTATGTACTGACCTGTCCATCCCCACTCTGCCTCTCTCCAGTTACAGTGCCTTTGGTGTCGGGTTTTTCTTCTCCTTTCTCTTCTTTCACTGAAGAATTAGCAGCATCATTAGCTTCTGATTTCAGCTCCACTTTGGAATTTTCTTCTTCACTGTACTCCCCTTCTTCACCCTGAGGAAAGTTCCCTGTTAGCTGTGAAGGTAAGATCTGACTGCTGCATTTAATTTTCCATTCTTTTTTTTTTGTTTTGGAGAAGTTTTTTTATTTTTATTTTTTGGTATAGGGCACGTACACTCATCAGACAGACAGAGAGAGACAGAGAGACAGAAAGCGAGAAATCATCCCCCAGGGGGGATGGCCACGCCGCGATCTCTTCTCCTCCATTCTCTCGGGATCTTGGGCACGCACGCACACGCGCCCGGTGTGAGTTTTAAGCCACCAGGTCCGGGACGTGAACCACGGTCGACTACGTGGGAGCCCAGTGACATAGCCATTACGCTAACTGCTGGTCCCTAATTTTCCATTCTTTAGGAAAACATTTTCTGACAGATTCTTATCACAAGAATTAAAAACTGGGCCAGCCAGTGGTGTGGTGGTGAAGGCGGCTGAATCCCATATGGCTGACTACAATGTGAATCTCAGACCCGGCAGCCTGAAAAAAACACGCTGGCAGGCCAGAAGTGGTTAAAGCACTAGACACCCACGTGGTGGACTGTGGTTTGATTGCGGGACCTGGCAGCTTGAAACTCAGACTGGACACATATGTGTGCATGCATGCCTGCCCAAAATCCTGAGAGAAGAGTGGAGGAGAAGGGATTGCAACATGGCTATCTTCCGCAGGAGTGATTTCTCTTTCTCTCTGGAGAGTCCACGTGCCCTATTGCAAAAATCTCTCTCTCAAAAAAAATAAAAATTAAAATTAAAAAAGAGGGATAAGCAAATGGCATAATGATTACATAGCTGGACTCCCAGGTAGCTGACTGTGGTTTGAATCCCAGACCTGGCAGCTTAAAACACACTGGTGTGTGTGCACATGTGTGCCCCAAGTCCCAAGAGAATGGAGAAGGAATTGCAGTGTGGCCATCCCCCTGGCTGGGTGATTTCTTATTTTCTGTCTTTCTGACAAATGTACAGGCCCTACAGCAAAAATCTCTCTCAAAAAATAAATGAGGGGCCGGGAGCTGGCACAGTGGCCAAGGGCACTGGACTCGCATCCCACATGGCTGACTGAGGTTCAAGTCCTGGACCTGGTGTAATAAAGTTAAATAGTTCTTTAAAAAAAAAAAAAAAAATTAAGAAAGAAAAATAAACTGGACATAGTGTGTGCCCAAAATCCTGAAAGAATGCAGAAGGGATGGCGTGGTGCTTTCTCACTCTCCCTCCCCTCTAGCAAATTAAACAAAGAATTAAAAACAAACATATGACTATTCTTTTTTTTTTTGAGAGGTTTTTGCTATAGAGTGTGTGCGCTCGCCAGACAGAGAGACAGAAAGCGAGAAATCACCCCCCAGGGTGGATGACCAGCCCGCAATCCCTTCTCCTCCATTCTCCTCTTGGGATCTTGGGGGCACACACACACACGTGCCCGGCGTGAGTTTTAAGCCACTGGGTCCGGGAGGCGAACTGCGGTCTACTACATGGGAGTCCAGTGACATAGCCATTACACTAACTGCTGGTCCCAAACATATGACTATTCTTTAAAATAAAATTTAACTTTATTTATTTATTTATTTTTAGAGGTTTTTGCCATAGGGCTCATGCGCTCGCCAGACAGACAGAGAGACAGAAAGCGAGAAATCACCCCCCAAGAGGGATGGCCATGCCGCAATCCCTTCTCTTTCATTCTCTTCTTGGGATCTTGGGCACACATGTACACACGCCCGGCGTGAGTTTTAAGCCGCCGGGTCCTGGACGCAAACCGCGGTCGACTACATGGGAGTCCAGCGACATAGCCATTACACTAACCGCTGGTCCCTAACTGGTATTTATTTAAATTTGACCAGAGAGGGACAGAGAGAGAGAGAGAAAGAGGGGAAAAGAAAGAAAGCAAGCCGCCAGGTCTGGGACTTAAAACGTGGTCTGCGAGGTGGGAGTCCAGCACCCTTAATCACTATGCCACCTGCTAACCCCATATGGCTATTCTCCAAATGTATAGAGGATAAGGGCACTATGAAAAAGTAAAAAGCACATTTGGGCTTGCTAGCAGTGCGGTGACTTGTGGCAGTTGGGGTGGCTGGATCCCACATGGCCATGGCTGACTATAAAGTTCAAGTTCTGGGTCCAGAGGCTTAAACAACCATGTCATGTTGTGGGTGTGTATGCACACATGGTCCCAAAATCTCAAAAGGGATTGCACTTTGGTCATGCTCCCTCAGGGGGTACTTTCTCTCACTTTCTCTCTCCACCCCCCTTCACTTTTGAGTGCATGTGCCCTTACAGGAAACATTGAAAAAGAGAAGAAAGATGAGGCCAGCAGGTGGCATGGTGGATAGGGATGCTGGACTCCCACATGGCCGACCATGGCTCAAGTCCTGAACCTGGCAGCTCGCTCGCTCTCTCTCCCTCCACCCCCGACTCTGTCCCTCTCTAGTCAAATTAAAAATGAATAAATAGATAAAGTTAAAAATAATTGTTTAAAAAGAGAGAGGGAGAAGAAAGAAAAAAACTAACACATTTAAAAATACATATAGGGGTGGGAACCAGCAGTTAGCGTAATGGCTATGTCGCTGGACTCCCACGTAGTTGACCGCGGTTCACGTCTCGGACCCGGTGGCTTAAAACTCACGCCGGGCGCGTGTGTGTGCGTGCCCAAGATCCCGAGAGGAGAATGAAGGAGAAGGGACTGCGGTGTGACCATTCCCCCTGGGGAGTGATTTCTCGCTTTCTGTCTCTATGTCTGTCTCTTGTCTATCTGGTGAGCGCACACGCCCTATAGCGAAAACCTCTCCAAAAAAAAAAAAAAAAAAAACCAAAACATATAGGGGCCAACAACCATAGCCTATTGGTTAAGGGAGCAGATCACAAATGACTTCAGTATGAATCCTAGCCCCAGTGACTGGAAAAACATGCCAGGTGCATGGGCATATACGCCCCAAATCACAACAAGATGGAGAAACAGGAAAGGGACTGCGGTGTGACGATGCCCTGTTGGGGAATGCTTTCTCTCCTCCTCTCTCGGGTGAGCATTCATACCCTCCAATAATTAAAAATACATACATCTTGAGGACCAGCAGTTGGCATAATGGCTCTGTCACTGGACTTCCATGTAGTCAACCGTGGTTCAAGTCCTGGACCTGGTGGTTTAAATTCACACCAGGCACGTGTGGGTGGGTGTGTGTGTGCCCAAGATCCTGAGAGAAGAATGGAGGAGAGGGGATTGTGGTGTGGCCATCTCCCCTGGGGGATGATTTCTCACTTTCTGTCTCTGTCTCTCTGTAGAGCGCACACACCCTTTATCAAAAACCTCTAAAAAAAAAAAAACCAAACAAAAAACCAAAAAACATATGGGCCAGAAGTGCCACGGTGGTTAAGATACTAGACTCCCACATGGCCACCTATGGTTCAAGTTCTAGATCTGGAGGCTTTTTTTTTTTTTTTTTTAAAGAGTTTTTTGCTATAGGGCGCGTGCGCTCGCCACACAGACAGAGAGAGACATAGAAACAGAAAGCGAGAAACCACCCCCAAAGGGGATGGTCACACCACAATCCCTTCTCCTCCACTCTCCTCTTGGGATCTTGGGCATGCATGCACACGCGCCCAGTGTGAGTTTTAAGCCACAGGGTCCAGGACACAAACTGCAGTCGACTACGTGGGAGTCCAGCGACATGGCCATTATGCTAACTGCGGGTTCCCAGTCTTTTTTTTTTTTGTGGAGGCTTGTTTTCTCTCTTTCTCTGTCTCTCTCTTTCTTGCTCTGTTGACTACGTGTGCTCTATAGCAAATTTAACCAAAATAACAATAAAATTAAGTAATTATTTTTAAAAAATGCATATATATATATACGCATACATACACACACACACATCACACCGTATATGTATTCCTGCAACACAGAAAAGGAATTGTTAACAGCAGCAGACTTGGGGGAAAGGATTCAGAGTATATATGAGTAAAAGGGTGACTTTCTAGTGCGTGACATATGGAAGAAACTTAATCTTGACAACTTTTCCCTCTCCAAGAATTGTACTTTTTTTAGGAGAGATTTCTGCTATAGGGTGCATGTGCTTGCTGCACAGACAGAGAGACAGAAAGCAAGAAATCACCCCTCAGAAGGGATGGTCATGCCACAATCCCTCCTCCACTCTCCTCTCAAGCACATGTGCCCTGTGTGAGTTTTAAGCCCTCAAGTCTGGAACCTGAACTGCAGTGGGCCATGTAGAAGTGCAGTGCCTTAACCACTACACTACCTGCTGGGCCCTCCAAGCATTCTCTCTTAAACATGCAGTGCCTGATAACTACACTAGGACTCAAGGTGTGAATTCTTCCATCTCAAAAGGGCTTACAGCAGACATTCTCAACCTTTTACATTATGCAGACCCCTTTTAGGATCTATAACTTTACTAGGTCCCCGGGAGCTTAGTACAGTAACTGAGAAAACATTTATAATGACAAGCAACTGCTATACATTCAACAATATTTTGAAATAAGTTCACATTTTATTAATTAAATATAGCCAACAACAATAGGACATAAAGGTGAGGGATGCACCTTTAGTCTATACATAATGAGAGCTGAAATGTGTATCTGTAAACTCCTTCTTTAAGTTCTTTTTTTTTAGAATTATTTTCTTTAACTTTATTTTTAATTTGACCAGAGAGGGACAGAGCGATGGGGGCGGGGGGGGGGAGCTGCCAGGTCCAGGACTTGAACCATAATCGGCCATATGGGAGGTCTAGCCCCCCAACCACCATGCCACCTGCCCTCTATCTGCAAACTCCTTCTAATGACTCCATGACTTCCCAAGACACTACTACCCTAAGGTGAGAACAGTAACTTACATTTCTGACATCTATGACATGAGTACTACATTTTCTGCACTACAAGATTCCTACAAGCAACAACTCTGTCCAGAATCATATAATTAGAAAATTTTGATTTAGAAAACCTCAGAGAACAATTGTATAATCATCACATCTTCGAAACAAAAACTAAAGTCCAAGTGCTCTCTTCCT